GTGTTTTTTCATTTCACCATTCTCATGCTCTCAGAAGATTTTGAAGAAACAACAAGTTGGTACACACTGACTTGTTTCCTCGTGGGGCATGATGGTCAAGTCATCCCAAAGCACCTCCTTGCAGCAGGCAGGACTCCTGAGCTGGACTCCTGAGTGGCCTGAATCGCAGTTCAGTGACTCCCCACTCACCAGCAATGTAGCTTTGGGCAAGTTACAGAAGCTCTGTATGCCTCACTTTCCTCATCCACACCGTTTATCAAAGGCATAATAGTGCTTACCTCACGTGTTGATGAAAATAAATGCATTTATGTAAAGTACCCAAAACAATGATACATGGTAATGCTCAAAAAATGTTATCTATTATTATTATTTCTAAAAAAGTATGGTATCTGGGAGGCAAGAATTGGCCAATTGCTTGGCCATTGCATTTGTTTGATCTGTTCCCCCTGTGTTTCTGGGAGGACATTAAAATTGCTGTTTATATATCAAAATAGTTTTGTTTGAGAGGACTGGAAATGCTCTTTACAAAATGTCAGGGCTAACAATGGATTTTGGAAAACTGGACGGCACTGCCAGAGATCAGACAATTTAGCCCAGTATGTCTAACAATGACTTCTTTCTCACATTGTGTTTTCAGTTTACCTCCATCTCTTGTGCTTCAGCAATTTCATTTTAACATTTTACAATTGCAAATCTTCGGATTTTGGGTCTCGGGGCGCCCCCTTGTGGCCTACAGGAAGAATGGCTCCTCTGATGGAGAGTAACCAAGCAGCGCCAGCGTCTTGTGTGGAGGCTGAGGTCCCCACCGTCCGGCACCGCCACCTCGTGGCATTTGGACACTCCAGGGCGTTCTAGCTGTTCCAGAGATGCTGCGTGTCCTGCACGGTGTGACAGCCTTGCGTGACAGTGAGTTGTCTTGCGTCTCCCATGTCTTCCAAGGCTGCCAGATGAAATCCCATGGTAATGACCTCAGCCTAGTGTTGACTCTTTTGCGTGTAAGCACATAGTTGTCTTTATTGTTTACATGCTCTTAGTTTTCCAGGGCCACACCTGAGCATATACATTCTGGGAAGACTGGGCTTTGTTTCCTTTGGAATGGCATCCAGAGTTGTACAGCGTTTTGGAAAATCTTTCCCCTTTTGTGATATTTAACCCTTATTTCAAAACGTCAAATATAAACAAAAAGCAACTTCTCTTAAATTCATCCTTTACTCAGTATCTAAGTAGGTGAAAGCCTTTTGACTATTCAGGTCTTACCCAAACATTTTCACATGGAAATGAATACTATTTTGTTAAAAACTACCTTTTAAAATTTCTAATTTACTACAGGCATGCCTCATTTGATGGCACTTTGCTTTAATGAACATCTCAGATACTGCGTTTTTTACAAACTGAAGGTTTATGGCAACCCTGAGTCAAGCTAGTCCACTGGCTTCATTTCTCCAACAGCATTTGCTCATTTTGTGTCTCTGTGTCACATTTTGGTTAATTCTCAAAATATTTCA